GCGAAAAAGATCTTTTGGGTAAATCGGATTAAATACTCTGAATACAGGTACAATAAAGTAATTTAGATGTAGAAATGCGTAAAGGATGCCTGGGACGTTAGCGAGGCTCTTAAGTATAATATAAAGTATAAACTTATATATAACTAGCATGCCCGCGGCTCCGCCCGCGTTCAGATGACTAAACCCTCCAGTGGTTTTTCTGTGATGTGGTAACAGACAAACAGACAGACAGACAAAAATTCAGAAAACTATAGATTCGGCCTCTGTATCGATAATAATGTTTATTTCAATTAGATTTTCCAAAAAATATTTATAGTACAGATTCGGCTTAGTTACAATTTTATTTATATGTACAGATTTGCATGTCAAGTTAGCCTGTAATTGTGATATAATACTTTGTAACACTTATTTGTAATATAATATAAAATATAACGTATATAACGTAGGCTTCCTAATAAATAAAAAAACAACATATCACGTTACTACTGTGCGAGACTAACAAAAACAATGGAAAATTCAATTTCAAGAAGAATATCTCTATTACAGCAAAGGTCACAGGTCCCACTATAAAGCTTCATTCGATACGACGTACTGAGTCATTGACCTGACCTAGGTCGCCCGTGTTTTCATTCCACCTAGGTATATTTATAGTTTAATGCGGAGAAACGGAAACGTTTAGAGACTAAAAGCTAAGTAGCTTTTTAGGAGGTTACCTAGATTTCCTCAATGTTATATATTTGTTTTGATATAAAAAAGGTATGTATGGATATCAGATTAAGGAATAATATAGATAGAGTGTCATAGAACTAAACATAAAGTCAACTAATAATGTTTTTAAATAGTATAGAAATGACAATTTGTATACTGAATGGTAAGTAAATAAATTTTAATAAATAACAATAGCTAACGGATTTTATTATAATAAGAAAAAAATGTTTTTTTTTATAATAAAGAAAAAATGGCGAATATTATACTATCTCTCTTTCAGGTGGAAAAGAACTAATGCTTATAAAATACAAAAAAATATAAAGGTAGTTTTTTTTATTCATACTTTAGTCTCAAAAATTTCATATTAATTTAACAAATACATACATATACAAAATTTTCCTTAATTTAACAAATATATACATATATAAAATTTTCCTTCTTCTTTAAAAACAATACCTAAATGATCTGTCTGTCAAAACATAAACAACAAAATCAGGCAACCATTTTTGACTTTGACATTTATTTGGGGGGGACTCCGTCTAAGTAATTGTTTAGTTTGAGGTACCAGGTTTAGATATTTTATAACCTACTACTTAATGCGTAATCTATACATATAATAAAATTGTAACTAAGCCGAATCTGTACATTAAATATTTTTTGGAAAATCTTATTGAAATAGACATTATTATCAATACAGAGGCCGCATCTATAGTTTTTAGAATTTTTGTCTGTCTGTCTGTTACCGCATCACAGAAAAACCACTGGACGGAGCTTGATGAAATTTGATATGGTGATAGTTGGTTATCCGGGTTAACATATAGAATAACTCTTACTGCGGAAAAATATCTCATTTCTGAAAAAAAATACAAAAACTGCGTTGAGTATACTAATATGTAAAACCTAAGAATTTGGTTTGTGGTCATCTGAACGCGGGCGGAGCCGCGGGCAATACTGGTCGCAAATAAGACCCTTGATGTTTTTAAGCTTTACGTGCAACTAATTACCTAATTAAGTTTGTAAATAAATGTCGGAAGTTTAATATAAGCCTACTTTTAAAGTCGCACGAGTTTTTGTGTCGTATTAATTTTATACCTTTCAAGTGAAATGTTGATAGCAATACAAATATTTGGCACCATTGAGCTGATGTGATGACGGAGCCAGGAGTTTGATAGTGGCTGTTTCATGAGTAATAAAATTTACGAGTTTGTGCGTTCATTACAGCTTTTTATATTACATTTAAGCACGTCAAAGTCGTGTTTTTAAAGTTTTTTTTTTAAATTAAGTAAGTAGTATGTTAGCAAAATGGCGAGCTTGAAGCTTGTAGTTAGAGATACTCGACCTATTAAAACAATACTTAGTTAAAATATTATTAAAATTTAAGCTACTAAGTGTACGACAAAAGAAGTTGCATTGAATTTTGTCTGTTTTTAATCATTGGCATTGACAGACAGTCAGTTCAGTAAATATAAATAAATAAATAACTTGGGACATTAACACACAGCACCATCTAGTTCCATGGTAAGCTACGAGGCTTGTGTTATGGATACCAGATAGTTGATACATTACACACATAACTTTACATACATACATAATATTATAAATATAAACACCCATGACTGGAGTACAAGCATTCATGCTCATCACACGAATGAATCTCCCAGCGGGACTCGAACCCGCGACCAAACAAACTGGGCCAAACGTGTCGTCAATACGTCGTATAAGACGTAATTTTAGATACCACATAAATATACCACATAAAGCTAAGTATGTTAAAAATTCCACAGTTTGGTTATTTTTTTAAATTAGACCATAAGTACTATGTAACTACAGTGACTCGCCTCTTAATTTTCCTACTACGTTGTTTATACCCTATTACTTACATAATGGGGCAAATTATAAAACTTTGTTTTAAATACAACATTTAAAACAATGTTTATTATAACTCAATGTATTATTCAAGTACCTACTCTTTGCTAAGATTCAATCAATGCGGCTAGCGAATCTGAATTTAAACTTAGTATATTATAATATAATTATACCCAAACCTCTCGAGAATATCAATACGAAGTCCAAATTAAACAAATAAATTATTTAAAAACTAGCGAGTTAATAATAAACTTGCAAACTTAACTAATCAAATGTTTGCGAATATTCGTTCTGGAACCATCGATTTTTTAATAAAATCTTGTTTTAAACTTATAAAGTCAACGACCTCACCTAACGCGCAAGAATGGAAGCGCTTTAGATAATATAAAGTGAAAGTTGCATCGACAGCAGAATTGTCTTTGGAGTTTTGCATATTAGAGTCCCAGCACACTGTGCATTTTATATCACCAATAGTTTACTTGGGTCTTGGGTTCAAATTAGTTCGAGTGTAAATGCGCAATTTAAATTATTCAATAGGTATCGTAATATCCTTAGGCATGCTATTTAGGTGCAAAATCTTTCAAATACTCCGTAATATGAGACATTATACATATAAAGTAGCCTAAGTCTCGAGTTCTTATAAATATATCTATATATAATCATTCCGCTTTTTTACCCGCCTCCGTGGTTTGTTTCCGGGAAATTAATTGTTAACTGACATGGCGGCGTATCCGTGAGCTTTCAAGCTTTAAAATCGATAAATTCTTCATTCTTTTATATAAAGGTTAAAAAATAAAATAAAAATGTGGGTACTTGTAATTTTTCCTACTTCGTATTCGTACATTGAAAAGGTAAGAACTGCATACTCTAAAATAAACATCGAATCTCATTTGTCCGCGGAAGAATACAAAATAACACTTGCCTTTATATCTATCACAAAACAGATTTTACATAACATTTTACAATTATAGAAAACTATAAAGTAAATAAATGTTAATAAAATAATAAAGGTCCATACTACATTAGTTAATTAATACACATAATATACTAATATCAGCTGATATTTTAGTTATTTGTGTACGCTTTGTAGGTAATTTGGACTACAACTGCCACTCTGGTCCCTTGAACATGTCCAAAAAAAGAAAAATCGCGCCATTACAAATAAAATTCAATATCAAACATGGCGGAACTTCGCCACTTGGCCAGCGTGTTGGGCTATGGCCTGATCCCCCTAGTAATGAAATGAAGCACGTGCCCAGCACTGGAACTTTAAAAAAGGCAGCTTACATACAAAATAAATCAAACATGGCCGACTAATGAAAACTACATATTTTATTCATATTACGCAAAACTTAACACAGATTATAAAGCATTATTTATAAACAGACCTTACTAAAAGCGAAATAATAAAAATAATATTTTGATTGAATGGTAAGAGTTTATATCTTCATCTAAGATCTTTTAATAACTCTATTGCCTGTCCTAAAGATGGTTCAATAGTTTTCAACAAACAAACAATCTACTCCTAACAATGACACAGTTATTATAGAGTGATTTTAATGTCGATATTATTTAACCAACTACGACGAAATCCAAAGAAAGGTTATAAAGACTCGCAACAAGTATAAAAACATGTACAGTACGCGATTGTCCATTGATTTTAACGGAAATGTAAGAGGTTGTCAAAACACCAATTTTTATGGTCAACAATATTGACGTTAAATATGTATTGTAGGAATTGGCACCAGTTGTACCCGACACCGTTAAAGCCTTATAAAACTTTCTTTTCGATTTTTTTCGTGGATTTATTTTGATTTAACAGACTTATTCTCTCCCGTGACCATGATTGCTGTAAAGCATCCGAAACGTCGGGAATTAAAAATCAAAGTAAATCTGTGAACTGTGTGTCACTATGTTGCTTCCCAATATAAACTTTCATCCCCTTATGGGATGATTTCCGGGATAAAACCTTCGTTTCGGAGCCTATTCTATTCGTGTAAATCTAAGAAAGTATTACCTAAAGCCTTTTACCGGATGTTATATAAAATTTACTATTGTTAGGAGACTGTAATAATACTATGTTACTACGTCAACTTAATAGTTGGACTCAGTCGGGTTTTTTGTTTTTAATTTTTTGAAGTGAATCTTCTTTAGAATCGTTGTGATTTGAAACTTGATGAAACGGAAATGCGACACTAATGTATATGTCAAATAAAATGTAAAATAACTTTTTAACTTGGTAAAAACTAAAATATTATAAAAAAATAAATCTTATAATTATCTTACTCCTGATACTGTATATTCATCTCATTCTCTCGTAGGTCCCTTTTCTGTAGTTTCACTTTACCGTGTGTGAATCAGCACACACATGCACTTTTTTTTATTAAAAAGTAATTATATACCTTATACATAATATATATCACTTACCTAGGCCCCGGTACAATCGCGTCTGCCGGCTCGTCGTCTGCGTCGTAGAAATCATCCTCGCCTTCTGATGATGAATACGACGTGTCCGGCACTAGCAGGGACATTGCTTGTCCTGTGGTAGTATTATTATATGATTAATTAATTACATGATACTAGTAAATAGCAATATATGCTCAATTCGCTTGAGAGTCCCTAGATGCCTAAAAGTAGACTTAAGTGTTCATTTATCTAATATATTTAAACGAGCAATTCTTGTATATATATATATATATATATATATATATATATATATATATATATATATATATATATAAACACAAGAATAATATAAAAAACAACGATTTTCATGAAATTTAGTATACAAGGGGTTTCGGGGGCGATAACGTGATCTACATTAGTTTTATGTCACGGAAAACACGTGTTTTCGAGTTTTCATGCGGTTTTGTTTCGCATTATTCCACGCAAAATATGGTCGCTAATTCGCACGCTAGGACATAAGCATCGTGGTCAAGCGGCCAAGGCACAAGTTCGACAACCACAGGTGTCTGGGGTCGTATCCCGGTCGGGTGCAAAGTTTTTACTTTTGTTTTCTTTTTGTATTTATTCAAATTTTTAGTTTTTATTTTAATGTTTTTTCGGCCAAAAACACCGAGCGAAGCTTGGTCGCCCAGGTACTTTATTTATTAAATGGGAAGTCAACGTTTTATACAATATTCTTTCTTATTCTAGAGCACACTCTTAACTATCTGATAGAAATTGTATAGTTCACTTACATAAATAAAAAAAACGTATATAATGAAGAACAGAAAACAGTACAATACATTCTTTGCAAGTATGTAGTCATTTTGAAAACTTTCATAACTATAAAATACTACAAAAAATATAAATAAAAACAAATATAAAAATTGAAACAACTAAAATTAATCAATAATTAAAATGTAAATAAACAATATGAACTTATAAATTATTTCAATCATTCAGGTCATGATTAATCTGTGGATTAAATATCATCCTAATCCGACCAGCAGTTTCAGCATGAGTAAGTGACAAAAATACAAACATACACACACGCTTGCACACGCGCGCACGCACAGGCACAGACACACGCACACGCGCACATGTGTACACACTTATTATACATTCGCATTTGTAATAGTACTTCGAAATTATATGGTGTCAGATCTATACATCTATACAGATAAATAAAATTGAAGTGTTTGTTATGTCAAAATAACAGGTTTTTACTAAATGCATATGGAATTATATACGGTATATATAAGAAAAACACAATTTTTAATTTTTTTGTGTCTGTCTGTCTGTTTGTTCCGGCTAATCTCCGAAACGGTTGGACCGATTTTGACGGGATTTTACTGGCAGGTTTTCAGGTACTCCTGATTACTAGAAGTTACTTCTTAGGCTACTTTTATTTCAGTAAAAGAATTAGGGGTCCGCTTAAAAAAATTGAAATGTACTTAGGGACGAACCCGAACGAAGCCGGGGTGAGTCGCTAGTCAGGAAACACTTCGTAAAGAACAATTAGTTCAAATAAAATATCAATAGATGGCGTAAACAGATGTACCGATTGTCATTATCGTTATTATAAATTAATGATAATAAAAATAGATCCCCAAAAAGAACTTTAGGTGACGAAAAAGAAAATGAAATAATGTGTATTTAAATTAAACTTAGCATTTTTTTAATTTAAGTAGTTTGCATTGCGTATTCATAGATGGCGTGGTATTTATTTTATGAGCATTACATAATTACAAATAGCCACACCGAAATTCGTTTTATTATGCTATTTGCTATATTTAACACATTTTAGTATTAAAGTTGTAAAAGAATTCAAAATTTCCTTTAAACTTATTTGGACATCTTTCGTATCAACGCCATCTATCTTTCTTCTCTTGACTTTTCCCGCTAAAAATAAGACCGAAGAACTACAACCGTCTTATAACTATATATAGAATGAATGTCAGCAAAAGTATAGTAATATCTCATCTGTGATCATTCAAACCAAGACACTTCGCAACAGCGATCAATCTTAGGGAATTAAAATGCATCTTAATGCAAAATTATATCATATTACGTGAAAAAAGGACAAAATTTTCCATTTATTACCAATGACTTGTCATCGTTACTACGTAACGACAATATTCTATTTATCATTTTATCCCTATAAAATTAAATATAAAATATGTTGAGACATTAATACACAGCACCATCCAGTTCTATGGTAAGTTACGAGGCTTGTGTTATGCAGCTGATACACTACACATATATAACTTTGAACACACTCGTACATATCTTCTACATAAATAAAAATGAATGTTGGTAAGCGCATAACTCAAGAATGGCTGGACCAATTCGTCTAAATTTTTTTTGTATGATCCTTAAGGTCCACGGAAGGATTTAATAAAGAGAAAAAAATTAAAATTTATATGGCTAACGCTGGCTAATAACTATTTATATCTATTTAAAACGTACTAATAAATATAAATATCCATGACTGAAGTACAAACATTCGTGCTCATCACACAAATCAATGCCCCCCGCGAGACTCGAACCCGCAACCTCTGGCATAGCAAGTACTAACTACTAACACTACAAACTGAGCTAAAAGTGTCGTCAAAATTGAATAAACAAATCCATCTCAAACTCACTTTCTTCGGTCAGACATCAAAAACAAGTTACGTAATGGAAGCTTTTTAATATTTTAATATACTAACTGGGTGAATCGATATGCTCGAGTGGGGCCAGCGGTGGGATGGGATGCGTGGGCGTCGACAGTTCGCGACATTCCGAGCCCAGCTCGACGCGTGGGGATAAATCTGTAAAATATTCACTTATTAGACATAATTTATTAATTTATCTAACACTATCGACTTATCCTTGCGTTGCTCGGTTGCCTTTTTACCAAATTGTTGTTGCCGTTTTGTCATTACATATCAAATCGACCTATTTTTGGAATTTTGATTTAATTTGGTGGGAAGTTTTCTTTTTTATCATAAAACGAAGTACGACCAACGACCTGGCGATTTGACATGGAATGATCATATATTTTGTTGTTTTATTTAAAACCGTTACGACTTTCGCCGATAAAAGAACTCAATCGGTCGGTCAAAAAGTCGTTTTTTCCGATTTTTTTTAACTATTCAATTTCTGACAGTAAACACCTTTTTATGAGAATAAAAAATAGCATATAGCACTTCGCGGTAATTTAGTTTCCGTAAGTGTAAGAATTTTCTTTTTAATTTAAGTGGATCAGTAGTATCTGAGACCCTCTACATTCAAACTTATAAGTTTAGCTTTGATCACATGTGATGTGTGTCTGAGCTTTTCTTCATACATTATTCTTGCAAAAATTTTTCTATATGGGCCATACATTTGAATATACTTTGTCCCTTTGCTTTAACCAGATTGAGACCAATATATGTATAGTCTAAGTATCTCCAACGGGCCTTAAGTTACTTGTTTACATGAGTGAATCATTTTCAAAGTCATTATCGCTTTGTAAACACGTTGAAAATGATTCGCACTATATGTAAATATCAGAGGTGCAAGACCCGGGATTTGAACCCGCTTCACTTTTCACACATTTTTCAAGCGAGCGTTATCATTAAGGTTACCTCTGCCATTATTATGCCATTAAAATATATACGAATTATAGAATATAGCTCATCCACAACAGCCAAAATTGTCTAAGCGCGGAAAGAACCATGCACGAAGGTGATAGAATAAAGAAAAAAAAACCTTCTGTCTGTAACAAGTATATAATGCCTTTGAGACAACTAACACCTTAGTCTCTCCCGTGAACACGATTGCTATAAAGCATTCGAAACGTCGGGAACCAAAAATCATAATGAATCCGCGAAATAATCCAAAAACATAGTTTTGTTAAAAATGTCAAATAATCGCGTATATCTAAGAAAGTATAATGCTTACCTTCTTTGATTTGGGACGCGTTGGTTGGTCCCTGGTACACGCCATTCACTGGGTTCACGGTATTCTACAAACAAGAAAATATCCTATTAGTGATACGCCCTCGCTTTATATTCCTTAAATACGTACGGTATGTTTTAATTTTTTTTGAGCAGACCCTAATTCTTTTTCTAAAATAAAAGTAGCCTATGTTACTCCCCATAATATCAGCTATCTTCCAGTGAAATTCCCGTCAAAATCAGTCCAGCCATTTCAGAGATTATCCGGAACAAACAGACAGACAGACAAAAATAAAAAATGTATTTTTCTTATAAGTACCGTATATAATTTCATATGCATTTAGTAAAAGGCTGTTATTTTGACAATTCAAACAGACACTTCAATTTTATTTATTTGTATGGATAAACTGTTACTAAACTAATGGAGGCAAAATGAAGAATTGCCACTTGTTTTATACTTTTGATTTTTTTTGTTGTTTTTATGTACTTATTATAGTCCTCTTTACATTTGTTATCTGCCAGTGAAAGTCCCGTCGAAATCAGTTCAGCCGTTTCGGAGATTAGCCGGAACAACCAGACAGACAGACAAAAAATAAAAAATTGTATTTTTCGTAGAAGTACCGCAATTTTTTTTATCTGCATAGATATAAATTTTAACAAATACAACGCACCTTAGCTATTTGAAGAAGCACAATGGAATGTTTAATGTTATCCAACATCGCCTGCGAACAATGGGAATATTAAAATTAATATATTGTATAATAATAGCAATATTGATAGCGCACTTTAATTTGTAACTTATATTTACTATTCTTTACTCCATTGTCAATAAAGCATGCCATACACATGTGAATTAGTTCTCGTAAAAACGAAATAAAATGAAATATTGTAAAAAAAAAATTAAGTATCTCTCTCTAAGCAGTCACCGGTTTGATTCCCGCTTGCGGCCATATTGATATGGTTTCATCTAGATGATTGTGAGGAAATAAGACTATGCGTGTGTCTATATAGTTGCGTAAATTGAACCGGACACGTATGTCATATTAGGGTTTGCCAACCAAATAATGATGCTCCACCACCTTCTCGGGCTATATGAGGGTTTCATTTTAGGGTGTTGTGTTATTTGCCCAACAACCGTGTGTTTAACACCTTAAGAATATAAAGAGCGAAGGAACCCAAAAATAGGGCTTTTTAGGGACCCGCTTATTTTTATGGACAGCTATGAAAACAACCGTAGGAAGACTATTCCCTGGTATAGACCGTAGGACATATAAATAAATAAATATGTTGGGACAGTAACACACAGCGCCATCTAGTTCCATAGTAAGCTACGCGGCTTGTGTTATGGATACCAGATAGTTGATACACTACACATATAGAATTTTTAAGGCACAAATTCAGAATTGGGGACTTGGCCCCTAGCGGAGTGGGTGGTATTTCTGGATAAGGGACGTGATAGGGAGTCGAAATGTTAAATAAATTTTTTAATACAACAAAAGATTCAAAAGTTATTGAGACTTAAAGTTACAACATTTCCATACATTTTCATATATTTCTTTACCACCATTCGGAGTGGGTGGTATTTTTAGATAGGGGAGGTGACAGAGAGTCAAAATATATTAAAAATATTTGGAGGAAACGTACGAGTAAAAAGTTATTGAGACTTAAAGTTATAACATATCTAACACATTTCCATACATTTCTTTACCTAAATAAGTGATTACAACAGATAAACATACCTTTAACGAATAGTACGCATCCTTTTTTATGTACATTACACATTTTCACAACAATTAATGCTTTATTGTATTTAATTATTTTAATAATTTCACAACACAAACAAAATGATCTTACATTTTGACAAAAGCAAAACTGACACTTTTGTTTTATATTACCGCTTAAATGACAACAGATTATATTTGATTATTTTTGCTTTTTCTGTTGGTAAAATATTAATATTAATAAATAAATAATAAAAAAGAAAAATATTATTTTCACTTTATAAATACATTTATAACTTTTTATTTGATTTATTGTAAAATATATTGTTTTACAATTGTACATTTAGTAAAAAAAAAAAAAATCATTTTTTTATCTGTGAATATTTTTAATTATTTTATTTATTATTCGTCATATCTGGGTTAGGTTAGGTTAAGAACATTTAAGATTATTTATTTATTATTCCTCATATCTGGGTTAGGTTAGGTTAGAACATTTAAGATTATTTATTTATTATTCCTCATATCTGGGTTAGGTTAGGTTAGAACATTTAAGATTATTATTTATTATTCCTCATATCTGGGTTAGGTTAGGTTAGAACATTTAAGATTATTTATTAATTATTCGTCATATCTTGGTTAGGTTAGGTTAGAACAGTTGCCACAACGCACGAGCCGAGCGAGCGAAGCGAGCGTGCCGCGGTAGCGGCCGGCGAGTGCCATAAATGACTAGAAAACTAGAAAATTCGAATTTCACGCAAAGTACAAATAAAGACAATCATCTGGAGATCATTTTGACAATTGAAAGTGACGTTTTGACTCCAAGTGTCTAAATGGTAGTAATGTCAAAATAATGTATGGAAATGTTATAACTTTAAGTCTCAATAACTTTTGACTCTTTTGTTGTATTAAAAAATTTATTTAACATTTCGACTCCCTATCACGTCCCTTATCCAGAAATACCACCCACTCCGCTAGGGGCCAAGTCCCCAATTCTAAACAGCCGCCATTTTTAAATACATACATATTATAAATAAAACACCCATGACTGGGATACAAACATTCGTGCTCATCACACAAATGAATGCGCCCAGCGGAACTCGATCCCGCGACCGCTGGCACTGCAAGTAGGGTCACTACAAACTGAGCCAAACGTGTCGTCAAATGTGATTGATATAATATGATTGATATATTATCAATGATGATATCAATCATTAAATAATGTGAAGAAAAGAAATCCAAAGCTCTACATGGACCCACAAAGTATGCAAGCTTTTCTGAGTAAAAGTTTCGAAAAAAAATTTTTTCCATCGATTTCCATTGTACACTAATACTTACGTTAGAGTGGTCCAATATTACTTGTCCTTTATTTTTTTCTTGCGGATCCGCCAATTCAGAAACTCTTGTATTCATTTTCTGCAAAGAATATGATATATTAACGTACTAACATACAATTTTCAAATAGAATAAATAACTAAACTAAACATAATATATAATAGAAGGAGACTCTTTCTAAGAGTATTTGTTTTTTTTATTACTTATAAAAAGTACTAAAACCAACATGATACGGGTTTTACGCGACATCTTACAATTAGCCAATTTTTAATCTATTTTAATATATTCTTTAAAAAAACATTTAGACGTGAAAGTTTCATGTTATTTAAAACAAAAAAAACTTAAAGCGATTTTGAAGTCAGATTAATAATAATATAAGTCAGTGATAATTGACTACTAGATTTTCATTAATAACTTTCGATAAAACCATGCAGTAATTTAAATTTTATAAATTCAGTCTAAAATAAACAGATGTTTAATAATACAGACATTCACTCTTAATTATATCGTATATATAAAACCCATTATAAAAACGTACCATATACTATGGCATTTATACGTAGATATTAACGTAAGGTATGCGACTGTAGACACTCTATTTTATTAGACACTCAACAAGTTTATTTACGATGAATTCTTTTAGTTCATTGTAGTAAACGTGACTCAACGCCAGATAATAACGAAAATGTGGACGTTGCCAAAAAGTTTCGTGTAGTGAATCGGAATTTTATTATGAGCACAACTGTCATGTTTTGGTCTGTTTTAATAAATTTGGCAGTTAAACTAAAAAAAAATACTTTTTTTCTTTAGTGGCTTAGAGTTGCATTAACAAACACAATAATATATTCTGCCAGTTTCACGTATTGTGAGACAGACGCGAATGAGTTTGAGCGGTAATTTTGATATTTAGCAGTTTTAACATGGAATTAAAAAAAATACTTTTCTTCTCTTCTTAAAAGACTGAGTAAAGATATTCATTTAATTGTAAATGAAGCATTATGATTTATATATTATCATTGGCGTTCTATATTTAGATATTTTATGATACCATCATTTAGTAAACACTTTACATCTTTTAGACGGTAAAATACTAAAAAACTCGGGCTCTATTCCTCAATTAGTGCAGAATTGAGGGAATTTTATCTCATGTTTTATTTTAAATTTATAATAATAAAATTATCAAAACAAAAAAAAAACTAGTTTGCTTCCTCTTCCTTTACATTGAAATTATTGATATATGTAGTTCTTCGAACTTAAGGTTTGGGACGTAATGTCGCTTCTCATAGCATCTACATGTTATCTACGAGTATAGTAAAGGGTAGAGTCTTTCACATCGAATCATAAAAATAATAATATTATCATTTTATCAATACGACATTCGAAGTCATCCATATTAAATACAGACGGATATGACAATTAAGACACAGAACATACAATCCATTATATAACAAATATAACTAACAAAACCATTTGAAATAAAACTATCTTTTAGGATTTTTTCGCAGATTTATTTTGATTTTTGGTCGCCGACGTTTCGGATGCTTTACAGTAATCATGGTCACGGGAGAGAGATTTTAGACGTCTCAAAAGTCATTACATTGGTATGTACATTTCATCAAGCCTTTGAAACGTCGGGAACCAAAAATCAAAATAAATACGCAAAAAAAAAATATCCTAAAATATACTTTTATTTAAAATGTCAAAGATTGGCGTGTACATCTAAGAAAATATTATGTTAACAGAACCATTCTCCAATAAATTGTCATACCTACCCATATCCTTCCTACTAAAGTATATTAAATTAGAACTCACCGACACTAACTCGATCATGATTTGCAAGTAAGCATCAGCCTCAGATATACGCCGTTCTAAATCGCCGTGGCGGTGTGCAGGCGCGTGGACACAGCGGGACCAGCGCTCGCGGCGGCCGTGACGTGCTATCGTGTCCTCTAACGCACGCACCCATCGTTCACGTTCTGAACCATCGCGGGCCTAAGGGGATAGTGAACATTTTATAGGGTTTTAGTTTTGACCCACTTCCATTGACAAGGGCAGTGGTAGTCCAGTGGTAACACATTCACTTGGGAACCTAGTGACGCGAGTTCGAATCCCAAGTCTCGTCTTTGATATTTTCATTTATTTTGATATTATATTTATTAATGTAAGAAAACACCGTGAGAAATCCTGCGTTTGGAGAGAAAGTAGAAGTTTGCAAACCCCCCTTGGCTAATGTGTTGGACTATGGCTTGATTTTGAATGGAGCAGTGATACGTTAAAATGGGATGATTGTAAACATACTTTGATAGAAAGAAAGGAGTTAACCGATAATAACTAAACGTTTATTCATTCATATGTATAATAATCTAACATAAATGCACAATAGGTTTATTTACCTCAACTGGTCGATTACTTTTCAAAGTACAATTTTATTTTTGACTCACTTCAAAGCAGGAGGAAATGGTTAACTTTTCAAGCAAAACTGGACTATTTTTAGAACAGTTTTATTTATTTATCAAAAATCTCCAACAGAAGTACTTATAAAAATACAAATAAAATAGAAGTATTTAGGACAGTGTTTAAAATGTACCCCCAATTACTGGAGAAGACAACATGCACTAGAACAGGGTTGATATACATAACTTAAAAATTGGAAAAACTACTTTAAAACACAATATTTACAATAACCAGTTGAGTAGATTCTAAAGTATAATTCGAAAGCAGAGTTTACATTTTTATGACACTATATTATAAATGCGAAAGTGTGTTTGTTACTTCACACTATAACGACTCAATGGATTTCGATGAAATTGAGAATGGCGATAGTTTACATTTTGGATTATCACATAGGCTTACTTAAAACGACGTAATACCACGTGAGCGGAGTAACTGGTAAAAACTATTGACATTTTAAAAACTATTTTTTTACGTCATTTCCAGCATTTTTTGTTTATTGAGGTGATAAACAAAACAAATCGACGACACGTTAGGCTCAGTTTGTAGTGACCCTACTTATTGTATCAGCGGTCGCGGGTTCGAGTCCCGCTGGGGGCATTCTTTTGTGGATGAGCATGTATGTTTGTGACTCCAGTCATAGGTGTTTATATTTATAATATGTATGTATTTAAAGTTATATATATGTAGTGTATCAATTATCTGGTATCCATAACACAAGCCTCGTAGCTTACCATGGAACGCGATGGTGCTGTGTGTTAATGTCCCAACATATTTATTTATTTAATAAAACATATACGCTAAAATTAAATAACGAAATAAATCATTAAATAATGCGAACGTACATCTTCTACATACACACTATTCTAGAAAATAAGATAATTTTCAATAACGATTAAGTTCATATGAACTTATAATTTAAAAATATTTAAGTGTCCAAAAATATTTTAATCCGCATCCATCATGCCTTGGAATGCACTGGGTGCGTTTACGGAACCATCTCATGGCGACCTCGGCTTACTTTTATTTCGGATGAATCACCAAGATCCTGCCTTTCTCTCATTTCCGTTTAAATGAATTCAAACAAGAAACATTTCGAATTCTCCACTGGAATACTAATTTGTGCCGATGTTATCTCCAACGTCTGCTGTTAGATATTTTTCTGCATGATATATTCACTAGCGGTTCACCATCGCTTCGCTCGGGTTCGCCTCTAGGAAGACAAAAACAAACCTATCCCACGGTAACCGTACATTTTTCCAGTTATTCCAGAATCTATCTCTGCGCCAAATTTCATCCAAATCCGTTCAGCCGTTCTGGCGTAAAGAGTAATAAATATAAATTAATAATAAATATGTTGGGACATAACACACAGCACCATCTAATTCCATGGTAAGCTACGAGGCTTGTGTTATGGATACCAGATAGTTGATACACTACACATATATAACTTTAAATACATACATATTATAAATATAATATACATCCATACTCACAAACTTTCACATTTATAATATTAGTATAGAACTTTTTTTCTGCTTTATATATTCAATATTTAGCAGCAATTGCCCAGATTAATTTATTAATTTCCACCAACCAACCAACCAACCGAGAAACTAATCCAATAACTGTCGGATTTATTATATATATTTTCGTTAATCCACTGAAATAAATCCCTATTATTGCGTTACATACTCTATGCACAGAAATAAAAAAAACCCTTATCGTAATTTTATTTGCAATCTGGTGCAAATGTATGAACCGAGCCGAATGTAAAACTTCAACTATGAGTATCAAATATGGCTCGAGGTTTCGAAAAAGTAATCTTAGTTATCGTACGTACTATAGAATTAAAGTCCTAAGAGAACACGTTAAAAATATCATCTTTTTTAAAAGAAATATAGGTTTCTTCATTTTCGTATTAAATAAACTTAAGTTAAACCGAAATAAATGAATTTTCTGCATAAATATCCATTTCTCATTTAAATATTTATTTTAAACCAAATACCTGGACAAATGATTATGTTACGGAAGTACAGTATTAGTATACAGTATTGCATAATAAAAGTCACTAAACATATATTTTACGAACAACGTTTATCATATAGGGGAGAGTGGGGTAACTACGAACATCCAAGGGAAAGGTGGAAAAAATGGAAGTTAAAAGCGGTATTTCATTTAAATATACCTGAAAATGGAAAGTCTTATGGTCCACTGTGATAGTGAAGGTGGAGTCGTCTTCATCATCGATACCGATCACAGCTGCTCTGAGTCGCACGCAGCCGCGCCTTACGCCTCGAGTCATTTTCTCTTTCGACTGGAAATCATAAAAAGCTATATGTTAGCCATATTAAAAAAAACGGACAGTTGCTTGCTAATACCTCGAGATACGAATCGTGTTTATTACATTTTAATATATTGATTATAGATTTTATATATTTTCTATAAAACATAATATATTGGATTGTGCTAATTTGATACTATGTCATATAACGATTTAACATCAAAATGTAAATTATTAAGTCATACCTACACTTGTATCTGCGTTATATATTTATAATATAATACCCTTGTTTGGCATTTTATATAATGGCTTAAAGGTCAAACATAATCTAGTGCCTGCAAAAATCTTTTTTTTTTCGTAAATATGACATTTAAAATTATTACATAAGTCATAACGCCTATAATCCTCTGCTTTAGTCTCAAAAATATTTAATACGATGAAACTTTCATGAAAGACATACTAGCGACTCACACTCGCTTTGCTCGGGTTTGTGTCCCTAGGTTGATTCCCCATACAAACTTTCATCCCCATTTTCACACCCTTAAGGGATGATTACCGGTATAAAAGATATCCTCAAATTATCTTTTTACCAAATTTCACCTAAATCGGTTTAGTAGATCCAGAGATTACCCCCTACAACGTCACAAATTCACAAACTTTACCTTTACTCGACCTTGCTTCGCTCGGGTTCGCCCATAGTTACGTTTTAACGTTTAGTATAGATTTATCAGAGTAGTAATAAAAAGTATCCTATATGTTGACCCGGATAACCAGCTATCATCATATCAAATTTTATCAAAATCTGTCTAGTGGTTTTCTCGTGATGCGTTCCCATACAGACAGACATACAGACAAAAATTCTAAAAACTCTCTATAAACTCTGTATCGATAATAATCACTAATTCAATAAGTTTTTACAAAAATATATTTAATGTACATATTCGACTCAGAATTTTATTATAGGTAGGTACTTATGTATATATTTTTATTCAAATTATTCGACTAAATTAAGCATTATACAAATTAACAGAATTTTTGCATTTTACAGGAAGTATAGAAACTAACTAATATTACATTCAGGTCAAAACGACGGCCAACCCAACGACCCGATTGTCGACATATGATAATTGAAAATGATGCAGGTTGATTTAAATTCTTGAAACAATTAAAATACAAAACTAGACAAAAGAATTAAAAGAACAGTAGCGTGATGTTGCTGTTTACTATTCGCAATGTTGCCAAGTTATTTACTTTTCTTCAGAGAATAAGATTTTTTTATATATTTTTATTGTTACTTTTCTTTTCCTTTAAAGAAATTTTTGTTCTTTATTACAATGGAATCCGTTAGCTATTTTTATTTATTAACACATTTTACTTATGAAAGTAAAGAGTATTGTTTTAAATTATTTGCATATTTTATTTTAAATATTTTACAGATAATAATATTTACATTTTTTATAATTTATGTTTTGTATATTAATTAAAAAAAATATTGTAGGAAAGTAAATTCAAAGAAAATTTAATTTATAAAGTCATCGAAATTTTCAGAATCAAATTTATAGAAAATGATAAAATATGAAAAAATAAATAAAAAAACAATTCTTGACCATTTTGGATTAAAAAAAAAATGTAAGCGACTTCTAAAAAAGTTTCTTTAGAACTGATTTTTTAAGGAGGCTCTTAAAACATGAAAAACTGACATATTTTCATAAGAGAAACGACAAAAAAATTGTCGGTCTTGCGCCACCCATATAGATACATAATATTTATAATTAAGAAAGAAAGTTAAACTATTAGTTAGATATGTAAAAAGTTTAGCTTTTTAGTTTTAAACATCTCTTATGGTGGCGTTATCCATCAATTCTAGGACGACATATTAAGCTATTTTCTGCCACGTTTTTATTAATATCGATATTGTATCGTATTAATTTTGGTTATAAATCGTTTTTATATAAAAGCACACCCGCTGTAAAGATATACATATTAACTTAGCAAATGGTAACGGACCGTACATTCTATTTCCACATTTTAATCCGCGTAGTCAGTGTTGTGACATAATGGAGACAGTCGTGGGATTTTATAACACTGTATTCTATGAGAGGGCAGGTAATTGAATTATTATGGCGTAGCAAGCCATCGTTTTGTTTGTTATGCAAATATAAAACCGAAAAGTTATATATATAATTATAATTTATTATAGAAGTATTAATTCTATGTATAATATCACTTTTAAATGTAAAAATATAAGTATGGAATATATTCTTAGCGTATTTTCAATGGACTTCAATTATTTAGAAGGCTGGCATCGATTCCATATCCATACTATTATATTACATTATTAATGTGAATTTGTCTGTCTGTCTGTTTGTTTGTTTGTTTGTTTGTTTGTTTGTCCTTGTTTCACGGCGTAATAAGAGTGACGGTTTGGCGTGATTATCTCATTCCCACGGGAATACACTTTATGATACAACCCACAACAACTCATCATATATCTGTATATATCTATAATATATAGCCTATTTATTCCATACTAACCGTTAAAACGTATCTAGGGACGAATCCGAGCGAAGCGAGGGTAAGTCGCTTGTACGTACCTACATTATCTATACATATAATAAAATTGTAACAAAGCCGAATCTGTGCATTAAATAATTTTTGAAAAATGTTATTGAAATAGACATTACTATCGATACAGAGACCGAATCTATAGTTTTTTGGATTTTTGTCTGTCTGCCTGTGTGCCTGTCTGTTACCGCATCACAGAAAAACTGGAGGGATTTTGATGAAATTTGGTATGGTGTTAGCTGGTTATCCGGGTCAACATATAAGATACTTTTTACCACGGGAAAATATCTCATTTCCGAGAAAAAATACAAAAACTGCATGTAAGAGTATACTAATATGTAAAACCTAAGAATTTGGTTTTTGGTCATCTGAACGCGGGCGGAGCCGCGGGCAATGCTAGTACATATATAAATCTGTATCGTGTAAGTACTAGGTACCTATAGATTTGATAAATTAAACCCTCGTTTAAATTAAGGTATCGCGTTCCATATTTTATAGTGATAGAATATGCTTTTATTCTATAAATAGTCTACCTATGATGAAGTCGTTATAAACGTTTGTAGTTACGATTTACGATTACGATGATAAGATAGTGTGAGATAATGTCAAAAGATCTTCAATCATTCAAATACATAAAATAATAATGTCTTTTTATAAAACACTAGGATTAATGTTGTATTTACTGTTTGATAAAAAATAGATTATTTTAACACCTCTAAGAAATTAATTAAAATTCTAAGAAATCTATTGTTAGCTAACACGCCGGCGCGGCGTGTCCGCGGTCGTGGAGGTATTAAATAAAGAAGTGGTCGCTGGCATTTAAATTAATTGGTAGTGCAGAATATAACTACCCTTATTCAAACATATGTATTATATAGTAATGTACATATATTATTACTTCGAGAAAGAAGCTCAAAGAAGAATACAGCTGGGATGGGCAGCATTCAATAAACTTCGTCGGGCCTTTTCGTCGCCAATACCACAAAGCTTAAAGACAAAGGTCTTTAACGAGTGCGTCCTACCTGTTATGACATACGGAGCCGAGACGTGGACACTGACGGTGCGATTGGTCCACCAATTTAAGGTCGCTCAGCGTGCTATGGAGAGGGCTATGCTCGGAGTTTCTCTGAAGGATCGGATTCGAAATGAAGAGATCCGACAGAGAACCAGAGTTATCGACATAGCCCAAAGAATTAGCAAGTTGAAGTGGCAGTGGGCTGGTCACATATGTCGCAGAACCGATGACCGTTGGAGTAGACGGGTTCTAGAGTGGAGACCACGGCTCGGCAAACGTAGTGTAGGACGCCCTCCAGCTAGGTGGAGCGACGACATACGTAAACTGGCTGGCAGCGGTTGGATGCGTAGAGCTGAAGATAGAGCTCAGTGGCATGCCATAGGAGAGGCCTATGTCCAGCAGTGGACGAAAGCAGGCTGAACATGATGATGATGATGATGATGTACATATATTTGTGTATATATATACATATTATTTGTCGTTAGAGAGTTTGATAATGATCGTATAACTACATAAAGAGGTCATAGTAGCACAATGTACTCGTATTCGTTTTATTAATAAAATAGATAGTTCATAGTTATGCTGGGACTTTACATATGTAGGGATGCAAAGCGTTCAAGTCATAAGCAAATTCTATATTTATGATCTAAAATGAATTTATATTTACAAATAACTCGAGAGACATCGTTGCCCTAATTTCAATAAATTTAGATCTAATCTTTTTAGTTCATACAAGGCACATACATATTACTGCGCTCGGGTTCGTCCCAAGTTACGTTTTAACATTTAGTATAGATTTCTCAGAGATGGGATATTGTCCCGCAGTAAAAAGGATCCTATATGTCAACCCGGATAACCAGCTATCATCATACCCAATATCAACAAAATCCCTTCAGTGGTTTTCCGTGATGCGATCACAAACAGACAGACAAAAATCCTAGAAACTATAGATTCGGCCTTAATATCGATAATAATGACTATTTCAATAAGATTTTCCAAAAAATATTTAATGTACAGATTCGACTCAGTTAAAATTTTATAATAGGTATGTACTATAGATAACATAGAAATTTCTGTTACCGATAGATTGCGCTCTAGTAGTAACGGTGGATGCCAATTTGTCTAAAACCTATCTATCTATATGGTGTTCCTAACTAGAGTTATAGACATTTGATATAAGCTCCATACAAGATAAGTCAAATTCCTATCTCCATTAAGATTCACAGTATGTTTAAAATAAATAGTTTTACTCACTTGACATTTCAAAAATGAACGATGGACTTTGTCCATACATTGTACAGAAAATAGTTGTACAATATTTAAAAATATAAACATATGAATCAATGTTTATTAGAAACCTTACCATAAATGGGAGGAACTGATAGCATTCACTTGTCGTGCGTGAACATTCGAGTGATGATGAAAACATCATGTAAATATA